ATTGTATATATGTGCCACATCTTCTTTATCCATTCATCTGTCGACGGACACTTAGGTTGCTTCCATGTCCTGGCTGTCGTAAACAGAGCTGCAATGAACATTTTGGTACATGACTCTTTTTGAATTATGGTTTTCTCAGGGTATATGCCCTGTAGTGGGATTGCTGGGTCGTATGGTAGTTCTATTTGTAGTTTTTTAAGGAGCCTCCATACTGTTCTCCATAGTGGCTGTATCAATTTACATTCCCACCAACAGTGCAAGAGGGTTCCCTTTTCTCCACACCCTCTCCAGCATTTATTGTTTGTAGATTTTTTGATGATGGCCATTCTGACCGGTGTGAGATGATATCTCATTGTAGTTTTGATTTGCATTTCTCTAATGATTAATGATGTTGAGCATTCTTTCATGTGTTTGTTGGCAATCTGTATATCTTCTTTGGAGAAATGTCTATTTAGATCTTCTGCCCATTTTTGGATGGGGTTGTTTGTTGTTTTGATATTGAGCTGCATGAGCTGCTTGGAAATTTTGGAGATTAATCCTTTGTCAGTGGCTTCGTTTGCAAATATTTTCTCCCATTCTGAGGGTTGTCTTTTTGTCTTGTTTATGGTTTCCTTTACTGTGCAAAAGCTTTTAAGTTTCATTAGGTCCCATTTGTTTATTTTTGTTTTTATTTCCATTTCTCTAGGAGGTGGATCAAAAAGGATCTTGCTGTGATTTATGTCATAGAGTGTTCTATGTTTTCCTCTAAGAGTTTGATAGTGTCTGGCCTTACATTTAGGTCTTTAATCCATTTTGAGTTTATTTTTGTGTATGGTGTTAGGGAGTGTTCTAATTTCATTCTTTTACATGTAGCTGTCCAGTTTTCCCAGCACCACTTATTGAAGAGGCTGTCTTTTCCCCACTGTATATTCTTGCCTCCTTTATCAAAGATAAGATGACCGTATGTGCATGGGTTTATCTCTGGGCTTTCTATCCTGTTCCATTGATCTATATTTCTGTTTTTGTGCCAGCACCATACTGTCTTGATTACTGTAGCTTTGTAGTATAGTCGGAAGTCAGGGAGCCTGATTCCTCCAGCTCCGTTTTTCTTTCTCAAGATTGCTTTGGCTATTCGGGGTCTTTTGTGTTTCCATACAAATTGTGAAATTTTTTTGTTCTAGTTTTGTGAAAAATGACAGTGGTAGTTTGATAGGGATTGCACTGAATTTGTAGATTGCTTTGGGTAGTTATAGTCATTTTCACAATGATGATTTTTCCAATCCAAGAACATGATATATCTCTCCATCTATTTGTATCATCTTTTATTTCTTTCATCAGTGTCTTATAATTTTCTGCATACAGGTCTTTTGTCTCCTTAGGTAGGTTTATTCCTAGATATCTTATTCTTTTAGTTGCAGTGGTAAATGGGAGTGTTTTCTTAATTTCACTTTCAGATTTTTCATCATTAGTGTGTAGGAATGCAAGAGATTTCTGTGCATTAATTTTGTATCCTCTGCAGGGAATTCTTTGCATGGGGCAGAGCAGGAGAGAAGGGGGAGCAGGTTTTGGAGTCGGGATCTGGTTTCTAATCCTGGCTCTGTCACTGTCTAGCTCTGTGACCTCCAGCTGGTCACTCCCTCTGGGGGTGTGAGGGTCACAGTTTGATCATCAGGACATTGGGAACAATAGTAATCATCCTGAGCATGGGGCTGCTTGGTCAAATTGCTCTGTGATCCGTGTATGTGGAAGAATGTGATAAGCCATTAAAGTGGCAAGTACTGGTAGAAATGAGGAGGTGCTCTTGACAGTGGGAGGACTCTGCTTATGGAGACATGCATTCTGGAATGCAGTTGCCCCTTTGGCAGCAAGATGGAATGGCTGGAAACAGGGACACAATGGGACGCCTCTATTCATGGCTTTTGCATAAATTAATTCCCGGAACTTTGTGATGGCAAGAAAGAAAGCTTTGAGGAGTTACATAGGTAGTCACCAGAATTCAACAGGAAAACCCATCCAATTGGGACAAAGAATGGCGCCTGAATCTCTGGAGGGGGTCAGGAACGCCAAATGCAAGAGCGAGCAGGTGTATGTCTTAGCATCTGTGTAAGGCCCTATAAGAAGGGAATACAGGAAGCAGAAACTTTAAACAATTTAATTAGATATGCAAGTATTTGAGTCCCCTAATTCCACCCCGGGGTTCCTTATGGTAGGCAGCGAAATCAGGGGCTTTAGGACAACCCTTGAGTCCAGCACATTCTCTCCTGCTGCTTGAAATTCTGACTTTAGGGATTCCCTTCTTTGGGTACTTTTTGGATTTTGATAAATCCTTTTTTAAAGTTTCAGTCTCTCCTGGGAGGGTCCATTCACCTGTGTTTTCTTCTTTTCTTTCTTTTTTAATTGAAGCAAATTTCACATAACATAAAATGTACCATTTCTAAGTGAATAATTCACTGGCGTTTAGTACACAGTGTTGTGCAGACACCGCCTCTATCTAGTTCCAAGACATTTTTATGACCCCAAAAGGAAACCCGTACCTGTTAGCTAAGCAGCTACTCCTCGTTCTGCTCCTCCCAGCCCCTGGAAACCACTAATCTGCTTTCTATCTCTGTGATTTTACCTATTCTGGATATTTTATGTAAACAGAACCATACAGTACATGGCCTTTTGTGTCTGGCTTCTTTCACTTGGAATGATGTTTTTATTTTATTTTATTTTATTTTATTTTATTTTATTTTTTTGCGGTACGCGGGCCTCTCACTGTTGTGGCCTCTCCCGTTGCGGGGCACAGGCTCGGGATGCGCAGGCTCAGCGGCCATGGCTCACGGACCCAGCCGCTCCGCGGCATGTGGGATCTTCCCGGACCAGGGCACGAACCCACGTCCCCCGCATCGGCAGGCGGACTCTCAACCACTGCGCCACCGGGGAAGCCCTGGAATGATGTTTTTGAGGTTCATCCACGTTGTAACATGTATCAGCACTTCATTCCTTTTTGTGGCTGAATAGTATTCTACGATACGTATATAATCACATTTTGTTTATCCTTTCATCACGTGATGGGCATTTGGGTTGTTTCTGCCTTTTGGCTGTTGTGAACAGTGCTGCCATGAGATGCATGTACAAAGGTTTGCCTGAGTATCTGTTTTCAATTCGTTTGGGTCTATATGCAGGAGTAGAATTACTGAGTCATATAGTAATTCTATGTTTAACTTTCTGAGCATCTGCAAAGCTGTTTTCCACAGTGGCTGCACCATTTTACATTCCTACCAGCAGTGTACAGGGGTTCCAGTTTCTTCACATCCTTGTCAACATTTATTATTTTCCCTTTTTTGATGATAGCCATCCTTGTGGGTGTGATGTGGTATCTCATGGTTTTGATTTGCATTTCCCTGTTGACTAATGATGCTGAGCATCTTTGCATGTTCTTGTTGGCCGCGTACATCTTCTTTGAAGAAACATCTATTTTCAGATTGAGTTATTTGTCTTTTTTGTTGTTGTTGAGTTGCAAGAGCTCTTTATATATGCTGGATACTAGACCCTTATCAGAGATATGACTTGTGGATGTATCCTCCCATTGTATCCTTTCACCTTCATTCATATGTTTTTTTTTTTTTTTTTTTTTTTTTGCGGTATGTGGGCCTCTCACTGTTGTGGCCTCTCCCATTGTGGAGCACAGGCTCCGGACGAGCAGGCTCAGCGGCCATGGCTCACGGGCCCAGCCGCTCCACGGCATGTGGGATCTTCCCAGACCGGGGCACGAACCCGTATCCCCTGCATCGGCAGGCGGACTCTCAACCACTGCGCCACCAGGGAAGCCCCATTCATATGTTTTTAATTGCATCTTAGACCCTGCTGTTATGTGTGGATTTGATTAATAAATCTCTTGGAGGGAATCTTTGCTTCTAAGTTCTTGGTGGCGGTGGAATGTCTGTCTTGATGGATCTGTCTTTGCTGATGCTCCTGTAACTCCTGCACACATACCATTTTTTTGCATCGTGGCATTCCTTTTGCCTTCTCTGTGGAAAAGGATGCCCAGAGCCTCACTGGGCATTTCTCGTTAGTCCACAGGCCTCTGGGAAGCAGAGAGGGTTCAGGTACCTTCACAGCCAAGCATGTGCTGACCCTCTGCAGCATTAGTTCATGCACCCGAAGTCCAATGACACCCTTTTCGTATTACTTACACTTAGTTAAGCACAGCAAGCAGCTTGGCTTTCCATGGCCCTGTCTTCCTGCTGCCTGTTCTCCAGACAAGTCCACAGCATCTGGGCAAGTCCCAAGGCCATTGTCAGAGAACTTGGATGCTGCCTTGCAATCCCCGTGGTTACAGAGGAGATGTATTCTGGTTAGTAGCAACGTGAAGATAGTTTTAGGAGCAGGGAAGAAACGGCAGACAATCCAGGCTGGGAACTCTCTTTGGCCTTTGCTCAATGGCTGAAGCAGCTGGGACCTTGGATTCTTCCTTGGGGAACTGAGTTCTGCAAACATCGTACCAGGCAGTCCTTGGCCACTTTAGCCTGCCTGAATGCTGTATTTCTTTTGCTCCTCTGAGGACCGCATGGTCCCACTGTTTCCTCTTCACAGTGTGATCAGTGCTGCCTGCCTCCCCCTTGGTGCCCTGGATGGTGCCATCCCCTGGGCTGGCATAGCCCCTGCAGCCTCTCAGACTCTCCCACCTCATGGGGGCCCTTCCCCATCCCCAGGGGAAGAACCGGGCCCCAGATTCCATCTACGCCTGCCAGACACATCTGTCTTGTCTCCGTCCCACGGGACCCCTGAAACAGAAAGCGATCTGGTTCCCAACACACCGATCAGACAGAAAATTAACAGACGTGGCAAAACGCTGGGGCTCCTACTTTGGGGCACTTGCAAAAGTAACAGGACACTTAGTTTTCAGAGGAAAGGCATTATGGCCACTCTTCCCTACATGTCCCAGAGGAAAGAGGAGCTGTTCTAGCTCCCTATTTTTGCTCCCTGTTTTGAACTAAAATGGTCATATATATATATATATTTTTTCTACCCCACAGAATTAAGGCAGCAGCAGGTGTGAAAATAACCGCAGTGAGAGTCAGCAGCGAAGACCAGTGGGCAGTCCAGGAAGAAATTGACAATGACAGTGTTCAGACTGCAGCCACCCTCACCTGCGTGGGTCATCACCTGGACACACAGAGCAGGTAAGCGCTGAGATGCTCAAGGTACCTCGGCAGTGGTGGGTTGGGGATCGTTGCAAATGCTGATAGGAAAATAATGAGTGTATAAATAAAGTGGTGCCTCTGCATTTTTATTTTTTTGTGCCCTTTTGTAAAAAAATTTTTATTTTATTTAGTTATTTATACAGCAGGTTCTTATTAGTTATCCACTGTATACATATTTGTGTATACATGTCAATCCCAATCTCCCAGTTCGCCACCCCCCCCGCCCCCCCCACTTTCCCCCCTTGGTGTCCATACGTTTGTTCTCTACCTCTGTGTCTCTTATTTCTGCCCTGCAAACCGGTTCATCCGTACCATTTTTCTAGGTGCCTCTGCATTTAATGGGAGATGTGTTCCTTTGAATTCATCAGCTCAGCTCCGTCCTACAGCTTCTGAATGTATTATCGGATGTGCTGCAGGATGAGGGCTTTATCCTTTCTGCTCTTTATACATCAATGACCTAATTAGGTTGGCAATCTCAAGAATTACCTGAACTCCTATTTGTCACAGTGCAGGGTTTGATAACCATTATTTTAAAATTTTATTATTGTTACTGTTATTGTTGGCAGTGAAGAGCTGAAGAATGAAACGGGAAAAATAGAAATGATTTAAGAGGCAAAAGGGGGAAATATACATTTTTATGAGTGAACTGAGGTCACTCTAGCTGTCAAGTAATTGTCTCTCAGTGCTTAAAGGTAGTCGTTTTGCAGCTATCACACCTGGGTATTGGCATATGGGCTCGGGATGTGAAGTTGGGGAACTTGGCGCTGCTGGCAGGTCTTCTCCAGCTCTGATAGCAGCCTTGGGTTTTATGGGGCTGAGCTTGCCTGGGAAGCAGAAGGAGGTTGTTGCTAATAATCTTGCATCTGGGCTCCCAACAGGCAGAATGAGCCCTCACCCCTGTTGCCACAGTCTTTTCTGCAGTCTCTTGGCCTCTCTGCTCTTCCCTTTTGACCGAGCAATGCTGGCCATGCAGTTCCCCCGGCTTTAAAACCACCAATGGCTCCCACTTCAGCCAGGATGAGACCCCTACTCCTCAGGCTGGCATAGAGCCCTGTTTAGATCTTTCACTTATCATCTTCTAGTGTCATAACCTGTTCTCTTTTCTTTTGTTTCTTGTTTGTTTTTTTTTTTTTTCTTTTTTTGCCACACCGCGCAGCATGCAGGATCTTAGTTCCCCGACGAGGGATTAAACCTGTGCCCCCTGCAATGGAAGGGCGGGAGTCTTAACCACTGGACCACTAGGGAAGTCCCTCTTTTCTTGTTTTTAAACCCTTTGAGGTCCACGATGTTGGGCACCAGAGGGGCACTGGGTGAATGAATGAGGGAGCTGGTGGGTGGGTGGGTGGGAGCATGAGAAATGGAGAGATTGTGTGAAGCTTTTGCCTTTTCTAATGGATTTCTAGGCTGAGGGCTGTCTCTACTTGGGCGACCTCAGCCAACCTCAGCTAGAACTCTGTTCTGCCTGATTTTG